CATTCTGAGTAAATTTTAATGAATTTAAGTCATTTTGGATTTTTTTCCAACTCATTTTTGATCAACTTTAAGTCATTTTGGATATTTTTTTTGACAATTATTGAGTCGTTTTGCACAAATATCCAGTAATTTCTCACAGTTATAAGCCACTTGGTCATGCTTTTGTCATTTTTGGACAGTTTTTGAGACCTTTTGGTAAGTTTTGAGTCTGTTTGGACAAATGTTTGTCATTTTGGACAACATACGTGTCATTCTAGTTTGTTTTTGAGACCTTTTGGGTAAGTGTTGAGTCAGTTGTGAAGGTTTTTGTCTGTGTTTGGAGAGGTCAGTTAGCAGGACTCATAAAAACACACAGAACACATTGAAGTATGTTGTTTTTTTCAAGAGTAGGCCTTAAAGAAACAGGAAACTGACTTTTCCTACAATCTATAAATCTAATCTCACCCAGAACTGATGCCTGCAAGAACAGAGTTTAGATCTTTGGACATTAAAACGTGAACGTATGGCAGTAAACCCCAGAAGTACCGTAATGAGCCTGTAAACATGCAGCTTGTTTCTCTTCAGGTGAGTCAGGACGTCCCCGTCAGCTTGTCTTTCCGAGGTAAAGGCTACGCCCTGAAGGTTTCCTACGACAGCAGCGTGGATCTGGTTCTGGCTGCTGCCAGAGAGTACTTCAACTCGTCCACGGCGCTCACGGACCCCTGCATGGACCTGGCCAGGTGAGCAGCGCCTCATTCACCTCTCTACCGGCTTTAGTTCAGGTGTCCTGACTTGACTTCTAGTTTAGAGTAAAATACAAACTCTCATATAGAGGAGTTTAGTCTGAAGTGCCAACCTGTTTATTCCTGTGTGTTCCTGTCATTGATCAACTTTGTTTTTGGTTTTGAGCCATTTTAGACATTTGTTGAGTTATTTTAAACATACTTGTTTGCATTTTGGGCATTTTCAGAGTAAATTTGCGTGAATCTTAAGTCGTTTTGGACACATTTTGAGTCATTTAGAGTCTTTTTGGACCAATTTTCACTCAGTTTTGACAGTTTTAAGACATTTTACTCTATGTTTTTGCCATTTAGGTCAGTTTTAGAATCATTCTGGATGAGTATTTATCATTTCGGACCATTTTTGTGTGATTCTACATCGTTTCTGAGTTGTTTGGGACTTTGTTTTGTCACTGAGAACAAATGCTGACTCATATTGTTCAGGTTTTGTGTCATTTTTAACATCAGCTAAGTTATTTTGGGCATACTTGCCATTTTGGGCATTTTTTGAGTAAATTTAATGGATTTTAAATCATTTTACAAAACTCTTGAGTCTTTTTGGACAAGTTTTGAGCCTTTATATCGAGGTTTTTGTCCTTTTGGACTATTTTTGTGTGATTTTGGGTGTGTTTTGTGTTGTTTTGGATTTTGTTTTTTTCATTGCGAACAGCTGTGAAGTCGTTTTGTTTTTGGGTTTGGAGCCACTTTTAGACATTTTAATGTCATTTTGACAAATAACGAATGTTTTGTATAATTTTCAGGTCATTTTTGAC